GGACACGGTACGCGCCGACGTTGGGGTGGAAAACGGTGCAACGATCGGCGGCCGGTCATCCCCCGCGGCTGTTTCTGCGCAAGCGAAATCGTTCGACGGAGCCGCGACATTTTCCCGTGAGCGATCGCCTATGTAATAACAATAAGCTTTATTGTTATAATAACGTGCACAGTTTACAATTTCGAAACAACAAATTTCAATATTACAGCCCCCCCCCAAAAAAAGCAAAGCTTGCGCTGGGGCACCGATTCTTATCTAATTAAGTGTGCATATATATCATGATTTACAGTTGTTTATTTATACAAAGACTTAGTTGATTACTCTTACACGGGTCAGTGTTAAATTCCATGCGAAATAACGTTTGCATAACGTAGTATTACGTTTAGATCAAAAATATATTAAAAATAACAGTAATCATAATAAAACGTAAAATATTATCTACGTACATATATATAGTTATTTTTCCACGAGGCGAAAACAAACGCCGAGTCAACCGAAATTCGAAGACAGTATGAAACGATGGTCGGCCAGTCCTCGGAGTGTCGTGGCTAACGACCAATTTTGATGAAATTTTATTATATTCTAGTTTTGTCTTATATTAAATATTGCTATTAAATATTTATTTCAATATTATCTCTGGCGTGTATACTGAAACGTTTACGGTGAGGAAAAACTTTTTAAAATAGCTCACCTTTTATAGTCTTCGGATTTCGGTTTACCCGGCGCATTTGTTTGTATTCGCCTCGTGGAACAATAGTTATAAATATATATAACAATACTTTGTTGATAAAATGATAACGCGAAATGTCTCCTAATCCTAGTCATTTACCAGTCAGGAAACGATATTAATGCAGGATATCACGCCATTTTTCGGTTTATTTATTTTTCGCCAAGTTAAAAGGCTATTTTAAGTTCACGTTTGCACAATCGAACGGGGACGTGTCCGAAAACCTGGGAGCAATGGATACACCGCATCCGTTTGTTATTATCCGTGTGTCCGTTACACATTGTGTACACTATCATTCGGTGTCGTGCACACGGCTGACCGCTGGCAAACCCGAAACGCTTTGGTCTGTAGAAATAATTAATTATCGGTTATTAAAAATACTACGGTAACGGAATATTTCGCTCGGTTTAATATCCCTTGGCACTGTACGCGTATAACGTTATTCGATTTCGGGACATCCGATTCTGTATCGGTACACTACAGCGGTGATACAAATTGTAATAATTACGTTTGCCCTTGAAATATGCATGTGTGTGTGTGTGTGTGTGTGTGAAGATTCTAGCGTGCGTTCAAAAAGTATGAAATATCCAATACGTATATTATACATATTATTATAAAGTGCCTATTATCTGTCTATTGTACTTTACCGAGCATTGTTTCCATAATATACATTATGTTTATCGGGCAGACGCGCGCGCGCGCTCCGTAATACGTTTGAATAAAGCGGTAGCTAGTTTTAATACGAGACTAATGCATACAAAGCATTAGATTCGCTACGCTGGCAACAACAAAACAGCGTATTCTTAATTTATTTATTTCTCGCTAGGTGATTATTTTCCGAAACGTTACCGGAGTAAGATCGAATTGTATGGTACGTACAATACGACTATTTTACCGCTCGTGTAATAAGGACGTGCGTACAAAACTCGGTTTTACGTCTAAAAATCCAAAACCAATTAATAGTTTTTTTCTTTCTTTCGTACGCGATCCGTATCGGCTGTAAAAAATTGTCGCCACGCTTTTAAAGTGGTGAACTTGGTCTAACACAATCATTCCCCGAAATCGTTTAGCAAATGTATTGAGATTGTTTTCCGTACAGTTTAATGCGGTGCACACTGTATAAAGTTATAACAAATAGTTCTAACTTAGGCTCAATGACTTAACATATACATATTATACATCAATAGCAGTAGTATTTTCGGTACATATTATAACGGTATTGTCACTAAATTTAACGAGACAATCAAAATTATTACATGCGAACGGAATCAAAATATAAAAACCAAACTCTGTGTGGACTTAACACAAAGTAGCAGTTATACATTTTCGTGCTTGACAATCTTGAGACTCGATGAAGATTTCCAATTCTGATAACTTCAAACCGTCGATGATTTGGACTATATGCTTTTCCGTTGACTTCAAGCCATAAGCTATATAGTGCTATGTTTCATGTACCTAGTTGAACGTCGTTCAGCCAGACAAGACACACGAGTGGTTCATAACAACAATTAGGTTTCATTACATTAGCGGTAGTGATGCAGTCGAGGATGACAGTGATTTCATGCTCAGCGGTGACTATAGTATCCCGACGGTTTCCTCTGAACATGGTTAAATCACAGTGCCGGAATGTCCGTGACATCCATGCGGTCTCTTCAGGGGAAATAATCGCACTGCTTTTACATTATTACCGTATTCTACGTTTACGTGTGCACACCGCGGAACAAAATCGATGGGTATTGAAAATATAATTCAACGTGATCGTGCTTCACTGCAAAGTGTGTATGTGGGAACTGCCATCAGTGTAAAAAAAAACCAATACCAACAACGCGTAGTACGTTTTGGGGGTGTATTCGTTTTTCGTTTTTCAACGTGTCATCAATAGAAAAACTCACGGGAGCACCCGGGTGGCAATGGCTTATAACGGTTTAGTGATGGCATTTGAAAACGATTATCAATACATCTTGCGACCACGCGCGTTTTTCCGCCCAGGAGAATCTAGTGCCGAATCAGCACACTCTCTCCGTTTCTCGTGTACGACGTGCACTCGAGCATACGACGGGTGAGGGGGGGGCATCTCGCCGACGAATAATTTACGAGATCAAAAGGTTGGTAGGTACGTCGAAAGCGAACGCGGCTAATGTAGCGATAAAATATTTTATAAACGGTTTATTCGACTTCGTCGTGATTTATGCCGAACGAGCCGGTTTACAATCCGAGATGTCATCGACGTTACTGGTCTCGGTGCAGGACCGCGGTCCTGTTGCGCGGCCACCGCACGTCGTCCGGATAACGTGTGCTGTTGACGACGTCCAGGAAGCGAAAGCCCGCGCGACACTCGTTCGGCGCGTCTACGGGGAAGGAGAGCGAGCGAGAGACGAATGGAAATCCGCCCGTGCGCGCGTACCGTGAAATATCCATATTTATGACGATCGTCTTGCACCGTGCGCGCACACGGCAGACTCTTCTTCCGGCTACGGTTTCGACAACAATATATTATTATTATTATAAACAACGCGCACGGATGAAAAAAAAAAACAGTTCCTCAAAACCCGTCCAATTATACACGCGGCTGCAGAATTTTTGCGCGCTATCGTTTAATTATCGTACGTACAATAACGATATGTGCAGTGCGTGCGTTATCTTTGCGCGCTGCGGACGATAATTATTTTTATTTCATTTTTTTTTTCTTTCCTTAATCGCTTCCTTCTCGGTGCACCCGACCGTCTACGAAAACCCGTAATGGATCCGTGCGGATTTATGTAACACCGCACCGAATCCGTTTCGATCGGCTACGACGGTTTAAAAAACCGAGTAAACGGCGTTTATCGAACGGATTGCGTCGTCGTTTCCGTTTCTACAAAAACCAATCCGTCGATGTAATCCAACACCGCGCGATAGTGCGCCCGGGGAAGCTGTAGCACCATCAGTGGCGGTTTTTTTTAAATTTTTCTCTTGGCTGGGGAGGTTCCTTTACATTATCTTATAATGTACGAAGGCAAAAAATGTTCAACCCATTGATAATTTATCGCTTAAATCAGCGATTCTCAAACTGTACACTGCGGTGCCCTAGGGGCACCACGGTCTACGTACGGTTCATAACAAATAGTTTAAAATGTATTAAATTGTTTTTCTTTACGGTTTTCGTAAAAACTTTATAGCAAATATTGTAATATTTTCTATTGTATATTCGGATATTTTCATTTTAACCTTATAAAATAATTTTATATAATAATTATAATCATTATAACAATAATTTTTATTTATTTATTTTTTAAGTTTAAAAATGCATTAATTTATAATTAAGTTAAATTTTAAGAAAATTAATAAAATTGGTTATCAATAGGTTTATTTTTGTTCTGTAATGTAGTTCACAGCAGGGCACCGTGGCTAAATTGGGTCCAAAAAAAGGCACCACTGAAAAAAAGGTTTGGGAACCGCTGGCTTAAAGTCTTAAAATGTAATTCTTACACTAAAACAAAAAAAAAATAACATAATGGAGAATTCAAGTTACAAGACGAAATTCAACTTTTCGTTTTTTCTCTATTAATTAATTCGTCCAAAATTTTGTTAATTTCAAATCTTTAAGGCATACGCATCGTTGACTAAAATATCCGGACGTACGGTTGAAATCACCAGAGTTATACACAAGCGCATGTCCGCAAAATATAATACATCGCAAGCTAAACGCGTGATCTGGGTGTCACTAACAACCCCCAACAGGCCCGGATTAACACTATCGTAAGCCCTAGGCCCCTAGTCCTTGGAGGGCCGTTGTCAAGTATTTGAATGGTTAAGAAACTTTCTCTTTGGGAGAAAAAGTGTTGAATTTCATGCAGTTTTAAGCTTTTAAAAGCCATAATACTTACAACATAAAAATCAAATGTAAACTTTTACATGATAACTATTGTCCATTTTTAAACGATAAAAGTTTAAACAAATGTTAAAAAAAAAAATCCATTTTAATCCAAAACGTATACAATATAAATTGTCAAAAACCATAAAAAAAATTTTTTTATGCCAATTTGCATGGTATAAATCGTAGCCACACTTTTTCGTAGGCTCAAAAATGTTCGTAGGCCCTGGGCACAGTGCCTATAGTGCCTGTGCGCTAATACGGCCCTGACCCCCCACCCCATGGATTACCACGTCATTTCTTGCCCCCTCCGCGGTACGAAAGCACTCGACGGCGCGCGTACGCCTGGACATGTGTAATTTTTAAATACCGCGCGTTGTTCCGCCGCCTAAGCTCACCGCGTTTGTTTGCGTTTTGCAGTTTGACGACAACAACGGTGCACCGTCCCGAATGACCGACGACGACCGACGACGCCTGTAACGAGCGCCCGAACCACCGTCCAGCCTCGAATATAATCGCCATGATAGTATCACTACTATCGACATGGAGCTTCATCAGCATCACTGCGTTCGCGTCGCAAACATTCGCCAATACGGTAACTATATCTTACACGGTTCAATACGTACGTTTGTGCGGAAAAAAAATTTAAAATAAATAACGGACGAACTATATGATATATATATATATATATATATATATATATATACCTGTATATGTAAATCATGTTTGGCGGGTGCCAATGCTAAGATGTGGGGAAGGGGGAGGGGAAAACTCGCTCCTCCGATAAGGTTACGTGTCTGGAAACGGTCGTGGTGGCGCGGTTCGGAGATAATAATTTAACGAGACCGGGGGGCGTTGGTCCCGTTTACCTAACAAAAAGGAAACGTAAAAACTGAACACAAAACAACGACCTAGTGCGAAATTGGTTCATATCGCCGCAGGTGTTTCGTTAAACAACGCTTTTTATCATATTACTACTATTACTATTATTATTTATACGGCGTTAAGTGTCTACCGCAACGCGTACGACCTGTTGCTGCTGTCTCTACCCGCCGCGTTCGTATACGTTTTGCTTTCCTCCCCCCGTCACCCTCCCCCCGACCAACAGTATACGCCGATCGGGTTTTTTACGCAAGTGAACTACTTTGTTTATCGCACAAACGCCACACGCCGCCGCAGTGCATTGTTGTATAACACGCGGTTGCCGATCCGATCGCGGTAATCATGAAATATCATTCGTGTAAACGCGCGTACACCGGTAAAAACGACGTCGAAAACAAAACGGGACCCGGGAGTACACGCGTCGCAGCAAACGGCCAAGGCGGTGTTGCGTCAAGTCCCCGTACGTTTAGGGCGTAACACGTGAATACAACGGGCACGGCGCGGAATGTCCCTTGAGGTTGAAATGCGGTCGAAATCGGTCGTGAACGGCCAACGGTGCAAGCTCCCGCGCAAACAAACGGTACCCACCGCAATCTCCAGCGCGGAATTTTTTACCCGAAAAAAATTCTGATAGTAACCTACATACCAACGTTTTAGCTTGTGAACGCGATTCGTTCTCACTTTCGATTTCGATAACGCAACGCGTTGTCTGCAGACAACAACAATGCAAACGCGCGCGGATTCAAACGTACGCGAGAAATTAAGCACGCTCGAGGAGAAATTTCACGTTCAAAGTTTATCTTTAAAGTACGAAGAAAAATAAACGTAAACGAATACGACTGTTATTTTCATTTCTTTTACCGATAAACTTAAGCAATTTGTTTTTTTTTTTTTCAACGCTGTATGATAATCAAACGGTCTATAATTTTAGAAAATAAATTTGATTTTATTTAAAAAAAAATTTTTTTGGTAAGAGTTTACCATTCCCCGTTACAACGAGGAAGGATCAAAGACCGAAATATGTATCGGGTAAATCGCATTTACGGAGTCCAGACACGGTACGCGTTATAGGTCGTGCCGCAAAGTTTTTAAACTGTTCCCATTCGTACACGAATTCATCACAATATTTTTGTTCACCGCATGATTTATAGGTACGAAATAAATGAAAAAAAATATTATTTTCTTACGCACGGTATACGGGATACGGGTGTAACCATCTCGTAATCGAATCATGTTTACTATGAATTGGTAACGTTCATCTTGTATGCTTGTACCGCTGTACACGTACATGTCTTTGCTTTACATTTAAATTATCATTTAATGATTTACGGCAATCGAACAAAAAAATATCAAATGCTGAACGAACATTTTAACGTTTCATTTCGAACAGTGCTCAATCGTTCAATCGCGGTATTATTTCCAATTTATTTATTATTAGATCGATGGATTTGAACAGATATTACAAGCGAACATCCTGTAAAAATCGTAATCCTATTCTCTAGCAATCGGTTTTGTTCAACATTATTTAACTGCTGCGGTATATCCATATACATTTCGTTATTGAACCGACGATAGTTTTGTCACGAATGACAGCATCCCGTAGCACCACGTTGACGCCATCTTGTAGATTACTTTATTGTTTCAAGGCTTACACAAATTATTGTTTTGTGTCGCAATGTTACGAATGACGTTTGAAATGTTTGAAAACGATTTTCCAACCGAATTTGAGATTCGACGAGATAATCAACGGAGTCGCAAACGACATCCTATGATCGATTTTGTTTAAATTTTATTTTCTCCGAGTCGATGTCAAACAAAAATTAACCTACATAGGTTCGTATGATAATCTATCCTTATAAAATATCGTGTTCGTGATTCAATCTTGTCGAGATCATCTTGAAAGTAGTATTATTCTTTTAACGTACACCTGGTCGACGTTTCTCTACGGTGGTTTTACCGATGGTATCCAAAAGATTAAAACATTGATACACTAGCTGTTATGAATAGAAGCGATTCATCGTGCAAGAACAATACAAATATGATATCTTAATTTTTCAACCTTAAATCGAGTTTAATTTAATGCAATTCTACACGGAAGATCATTATAATAATAATTGAAGGCCTTACGATTTACGATTATTATCTACAGAAAAATTAAAACAAGTAACGAATAAATAAAATAAATAAATAAATAATCAACGCTTTAACGTCGGTCATTTAAGCATTTTAACTTCTATGCTAAAAGCCTACTCGCACCTTATGTGGTTAGTTATTAGTTTTTACACTTTCCAGTATTGTTTTTTTAACCCTTCCTCGATCGACAACAATTGAGTACGATCGGTACCTCCCGCGCTAACAATTTCAAATATCATTTCAATATATAATAAATATCGCAGCTTGTTGCAAAACTTTCTCCGTCAATAATTGGGTGTGTGTGTGTGTGTGTGTGTGTAATGACCCGAATCGTCATTTTTCGACCGCATTCTGTGTATTGATCGCGCTTATACCGCGTCGGTGGCGCAACACGTACTCGAGAAGACAATTTCGGTGTACTAACGTCGGCTCACATACGTCAAGAGACGAGTCCTCTCAAGGTGGCCAATTATCCTTGTGGTCACAATTGCGGACGATTCGGGGTTCCGCGGCATTATCGTCTTTTCGGTACGATATAATGAAGCGATTATTATTTTCTCGGTTTTTCGGTCCTTGGGCTTTGCACAACACTACATGTTTACGTACTCTATCGGTAACCGTCTACGCGCGCACACATTACATATTATAATGTATCATAGAACAATCGACACGCATACACGTACGCTTCAAACGACGGGAAACGTCACCAGCTGCATTCAGTACGACGCGTATGGTTCTCGACCTTCTATGACGAGGTCAATCTCTGAATTTTCGGTCGTAATCCGTCACTCGGCTGTTGGACGAAATAATATACTCTTTTCATTGTCCACGGATCTTTTATTTTAATTTTTTTTTTTTTTTTTTTGTGTCATCATAATAACAAATAACAAATAATAATAATAATATTCCATGTGGTTGGTCAACCGTATAATGCGACAGCAACCAAACACCCACCCCGAACAATGGGCTACGGACGGGGCTAACGAACCTCGGCGCGCGCGTACTCGTGGTCAGAATGTCTAATGTCGAGCGGCGACAACGAGCGAGAAAATGCCGTTGTCACACTAGAACTCTAACCGTAAACGTAATAAACGGAAATTCGGACGTCGCCAGCTCTTGGTGCTGACCACAGTCCGAAATCGACGGTCGAAAATATTCGTCATCTCCTCGCCGAACAACTTTGACACTTTTTACGCGCATAGTTTACTCGTGCTCTTCACGAACGTATAACAAGTAACAGCAGATGAATTCGGCCGCGAAACTTTTCGTCTTATCCGACCCGTAAAACTTTCAAAACGTACGCCACCAGTACATAACCAGACCATCAATAACAATACGATAATACGATGATAACCATAGTGAACTCGACGGCATATCACCACCGTACGGAATCTGCAAAAGTTGCAAATTAAATGCGAAAAGAAATATTGATAATTTATTGATTGTTGTAAAATATGTGTTGCCGAACCGTTTTGGGATCGGTTTCGTTTGACCCTATCGCAGAGCACAACAATCCGAACCTACGCCATTCCGGGATAAATCGAAAACACTACCTTCCCTAGGCACGTGTACAATGACATTTTTGTGCATTCGTAATACCTTCACATATTCGTCCGTGTGCTTTGTTAGATCGATTTTAATATTTTAGCGTTCCGCCCACTCCCCTATCGCCAAGAACGATAACGCTCGCGAAAAACTCGTCGTTCGTAATATTCGACGATTCGCATCGAACATACCTACCGAATTCGTATCGTTTCTGACGGTCGAGATTTGTTTAACGCACGAACACAATACGAGATAATACCGTGTGTGTGGTTGGTGAGTGCATTTTTTCTCCTCTTCTAACAAATCTCTCTTTCGCTTTTTTCACTTTTCCACACCGTTTCCAGTCGGCGCGTACGTTGTATTAAATATGACGATAAATCCGCCGCGAGGGTTACGCAACCGGTTCCGCGCCACCCGACTGGATGCGTTTCTGGATACGTTTCATCGTCACGGATCGCGCGCTGTCGCACAACAATTTAATACATAATATTACTGTCACTGAATCGTGGCACCGATCCGGCATATGTCGAAGCTGCAGGGGAGAGGGTTAAGACATTCGGGTAAAAAAAACCGCAACATCAACCCGCGTCGGAACCGCGGTATACGAGAAAATATAATCGCAACGAACGGCGAATACAATCGGAAGGCCAACAACCGTGTCCGCTCCGATAGACTTGAGTTCAATCTATCGAGTAAAAGTTTTCAGAACGATTGAAAAGAAAAACAAACCGAAATAAGTAATCAAAGTTTTATTCAATTCGTCGCATTTCTCGGTTAATTCCATATCTGATGTAGGGATTTTTTTTTTACAAAAGTTTCCGCAACAACTACGAGGTACCCATATAATTTGATTACGATTAAACACATTTTGTTCTTTCCGCGTTTATTTCCGTTATTCTAATCCTCCGGGTTCCAACAGAAAGATCACTTGCCGGCCCGTGCTCGATGCTAATAATTCTCGTCCGAATCCGAGTGGTACAACGATAAGTTTTTAACGAGCGACCGGCGAAATTATTGTTGGACGGCGACGGCCGACGCCCACGACCATCCGTATTTATAACATTGCAGTTCTTTACGCCGGATCGTGACCTATCTGCTACCATTAGGTAGCTCGAACGCGATTCCGATCGAAACGGGTTTTTGTACTTTTCATTTTTTTTTTGTTATCTATTCCTATTTTTTTTCCCCCACGCCCGACTTAGATTTATCACGCGTTCGAATAACGTGTGTGCGGTTTTTTACTACGTTTTGTTTTCATTTTTTATATTTTTTTTTACGTTTTCAGTTACACGAGCACATGAACGTGGACGACTTGAGGACGATATTTCACGTGGAACACCATTCGCAAGGTACGTAGTGAAAAACCCGAAAAACGTCAACGAAGTCAGCCCCCGGATCCCATCTTCTTCTTCTTCTTCTTCTTCCTCAGCTTATCGGCCCATTAAGTGCCATCGCAAAACCTCTCTATTTCTTTCTATCATACGCTTCGTCAATAGATGATTCTTCTTCTATACTTTTGACATCTTGAGCTATAGCTATAACCCGGATCACACGATTAATATAATAATGATAATATTTAAATTGTTCGTACGCCAACAGTGCCCGTTTACGAGGTGATCAGTCCGCACTCGATCGTCAAACGGAACGCAGACGGTGCGCACAAAGTGCGGCTGAAGGCGTTCGGCGAACACCACAACCTGCATCTGGAACCGTCCAGCGGCTTGTTGGCCGGCGACAAATTGCGTGCGTGGACGGCTCACCACAATTCCACCACGGACACCGTGCACTACACCGAACTGCCGAACGACGTGAGTATTTGGATATTTTTTTCCTAACACGGCAAAGACGTCCATTCCGAACACGTGTTCTCTAGTGTCTCTAAAAATACTCATCGAATCGCCCCGTGTTTAGCGATCGAAACAAGCGCGCGCGGGCCGCATACGACTTTCGTCTCGTACCGTTTGCAGACAAATCGTTCCCCACCCGAAATTAATAAATAATCACCTTTTACATCGACGCGGTGAACAATTGTTGATAAAAGAAAAGAAAAAAAATCGTATCGAATATGATCGTTATGCCTCGTGTAAAGTAGAAAATCTTAATTAATCTTCGTTCGATGGACTTCGATCGATGCGCGGTAAATAGGTAATTAATTAAATGCCTGTACGTAATACGTTCACACACTGATGTGCGTTTGAAAGTGTCCGAACGAGTTTGTGTGACATTCGTACGGATAAAAAGGAATGGAAAAAATTTCATAATAGACGAACGGTTGACCGATTAAAAATTACTTGATTTCGATGTGACGACATTTTATCGCGCAATGGTCCGGTGTCCGTTATAAATATACATCACAAAACATGCATGTACACACCAATGATTAAACGACCAAGTGAGTAACCGGGATTTTAAAATAAAATACCTATTGATTGTATTACATATTTGAATACGGCTTGTGAGGAGTACACGTCCATCGCGTAGCGGTGAAAATTTATAGATCATAAAATATGTTTAGCTTTCAGATCTATAGTAAAACAGATAAAAGTAACATCAAGTACGTGTACGAATCATCTAAATACACGCATTTAGTACACCGTATTGGATGTTTGATTTGAACACGGCAAGGGAGGGAGTGTTTTGGGAAAAAAACAGACGTCAGTCGACACGTTTTCCGTTTGGGCACTCGTCGACCGTTCATCCCTCCGGACGAGCAGGCACCTCCTGCCACCCGCGATTAACCTTCTCTTCGTTCGGCGATCGACTACGTTCGTGTTTGATTACGTGTGCGTGGATCGGAGACCAGGGTCGGACTTTAGACTTTAGACTAGCAATTTCCAATGAGGCCCCATTACTTTTTTTTTTTTTTGGTCACTATAATATTGTATGACTAATAAGAGTCAAGAGTACGGACCGAAATACTTAGTAATTTTAAGTTGTTATATTATACCACTGCTTAGTAGATATTATGCTCACTAACGCCTAACATTTTATTAAAATAATTATATTTATACTGTATACAACATTGTAGGGGTGGTTTCAGAAACTTAATTTGGGGGGGCAGACATTAAAATGTTAGTAAAATATTAACACTGAATATAAATTCAGGGGTTAACATATTTATTTATTTGATTTAAACGCCCTTCTACGGGCATTGACCTAATGGTATTTTATAAAATATGAGGCACAGGTACCCCCCTAACTGCACCTATATCCGTATTAGTTCAATATTATATAATTTTAATAGCAAACTAATAATTTAGCTAATAAATTTGATTTGGGCTGAGGCCCTTTTTATGTCGATATCCGGTGAGGCCTTCCATACCCATTCCGACCCAGCCGGAGACAATGCCCACCACCAGCAAGAAGTATTCATTGGTACGCGCACCGTAAACGGTATTATTGTAGTAGTCGTCTTCTGGACATGTAAATCACAAGTTATCGTTTCGTTTAACGTCGGCGTGGGTCTCTCGTACGGCTCGCGTTTCATTGTCGTACGTTTGTAAACAGTTTTTACTTTTTCTCGTTTTCGGTCACGTCTCGGATTCGAACGTTACAGAAAAAAAGAAAAAAAAATTACATTACGCGTGACAACTAACCCAAAGACAACGGTAATACTATACGTACACGAGGTGTGTGTCTTGTTATGTGTATCGTTATTTTATTACTCACTATTGCGAGATCGAATTTGGTAATTGTTTTTGATTTTTCGAAAATCGTGAAACTTCATCGACCACTCCCGATCGAGTTGCCTTCAAAATGACGTAGTACGATAACGTGCGAGTATAAAATATCTTTCAGCTCGAGACAATGTTTTCGAATGATTTGCGTTTTATTATTTATTATTGTTGTTTTATACACACACACACACATTAGCAATATATTTTCTGATTACTTATTTTACGATTATTACACCGATTTCTCGAAAAAGTATACAAATTGAATATTATATTTTTACAACCGTTCGTATACCTACTGCAATAGCGTACCGGACATCGTAGTATAGCAGAACAAAACAAAATGGATATTATAATTATATTACTGTAAAGGTTGAACGTTTCGCGTGAATGAAATAATCGTGCAACCAACACCGTCTTTCGGTTTGTTGAAAATTCTTCTCGCAAGTAAAATAAATAGGTACCAATCGTATTCTTATTGCTCACAACACGTACGCATAATTTTTCGCATTTGCTCCTTTCCTGTACGGTGTCCCATCGGATTTTTTTTTTATTTTTATTTTCCAACGGTTTACGATTTTATTTTCATTCCGCTTTCCGTCGCGAAACGTCATGTTCAAAAAATCGTTACGGGTTTTCGTCCATTCGAACCGGTTTCGAAACGCTGCGCGACGTTTATCGTCCTCGAGTTTTCCAGCGCAACACCGACACCCAAACCCGGTGGGTGACGCGATAATGATTTGCGCGCGTTAATTGTTTACAATGAACACTTCGTAATACGTTTGTACCGCGTTATCTGCGAGTATTGTTATGTCACCCATCGAGGTTACCATTACGTGCAATACCTATAATGGAAACGGTAGACAAGTGCACAACGGATAAAGACGTGCGCGTCCGGTCGGAAACCGCAACAATACTACTTAACCTAATCTGCGAACGAAACGTGGCGTACCACACACTAAGGGCGTGTTTAGACTTACTTCTAAGGGGGGGGGGGGGGGGGGGACTTAAAATTTTCTTTAATTCAGGCTCAAAATTTACAAATACAATTTTTGGTAGTATTTAAATCGGGTGAATCCTTAATATTTGTGGTTTTTTTTTTTTTTTTTTTAATGCCAGATCCGTTTAGAACCGACTTTTGTGCAGCTCTTTTTAACACCTGTCCATGTTTCGAAAATTACGCTTGTGTTTTATTTGATTGAGTATGGTTCCGACAAAAAGCCCAATTCAGTATTCACAGCCACGCGTAATTTAATTTCGTTACGAAACGATGTACATAAAAAAAAAATTTTAAAATGCGTATCTCACGTATAATCGATTCCTTAAATACGGATTCAGGAGGAGGCGATCACCCCTTCGCCACCCTCCTTAAAATATGACCAATGCCACACTCGTCGCAGCTACGTGGCGCCGTATCGGAGGGCGTGAATACACATGCGCGCGTACTCGCCGGTACGTTATTTTCGTAATATAGAGCGGTGCAGTTTTTATTTTTATTTGATCGGTGAAAGTGCGTTCTCGTTCTCGTTCGGGTACACAATATGGTCAACGCGATTTTGACTGCCTAATGAGTTTCCAGTTTTCAGTTATGATATTCATAATTGATCCCCAACCCGTCAAGTGCGTGCATTTTGGCTACGTGTCAAACGGTTCGAGTAATATTATTATAATTGCTACGATTATAATACCATTGCGTACGGTGCTATTTGTCTATGTGCTTATTGCTATTGGTCGGGTTGCCAAACGTATTGGCAAATGATTATTTTCGGTTTTTTTTTTTTTTTTACCTGTACGTTTACGGGTAAAACAGATATTTTTCATGCAGACCGGCCGGACGAGTGTTTGTTATGTACACTAAAATCGTTGATTATTTGATTCGTAATGCAGTATTATACTTGTACGACGTATGGACTGCTTATGTTTTCAATTTTGTAACAAATAAGTCTGGACGTTTACACCGCGTCATGTACGCAACCCGGACGTTAGGGCAATTCGCTTCGATAAAAGTTGTTTCTCTGTGGTATACAGTACAGACGTTAACGCGGGATCGTCGACGAAAACCCTGAAAGCGCGCAATTACGACCAACCTACAAGTATTATACAGAACTTTCTTCTTTTAGCTCGAATGCTAAATCCATTTTTTTTCTTCCGATAGGCGCAGTGCTAACGATTCGCATTATTATCGTTGCACGAAACCCGATTAAAAATATTTAAAATTCGGTCACGGCAAAATCAACAAATCTATTAGCAGCTGGTCGAACTGTTGGCTGATTTCGAATCGAATCGTTTCGTCTGTAATAAAATTCGGTATGGATTTCGAGGATCATTTTTTTGTCGGTGCACCGTGCGCTTTCGTAGATTTTGTAGGTCCGAACGTTTTTGCCTTTTTCACTTTCGTTCAGTCGATAAACTTGTACAACGCGTATACGCATATATCACGAGCAGCTGGCATGTTATGCAAACACTTTTAACAACGTCTACACGATCGACGATCGTTATTCGTGTAATATTAATTGACCGCGTTAATCGACAGCTATTATAGTAATTATTATTAACACCGACGCGTTTACGCGCGTAGATGCCTATAATAGCCGTCGTTGTCAGCGTTGCGAAACGGTTTTCCAAATTTTTAATTGTCTTCGACGGTCGGTCGGTCGGCACGTTATGAATATTCAAAAAATAAATAAATAAACTTTTGCGCGCGCACTATTTTATATTGCACATTTAATTGCATAATACGAGTGCGAACACCCATGCACGGATTTATCGCTCGCGTTAAGGTGTGGTAGCCGAGCAGTCTTTTGCGCGTGATTTCTCCGCGCTGAAACGTACGGTACAGGTAAAGCAGTACCTATAACCGAATAATATCAACACGGTTTTTTCACGCATATAAAACACATAACTTATAAAATATGCGCACTCGTTAATTGAATCGTTTACGTACCCAAAGTGCGCTTAATGGGAACGCATATAAAATCGCGTTACGTAACACTACTCCTCGGGGCCAAAAATTGCTTCAGTTGTTCTCGTGTAGTACGTAATATCGATATAATACCATCATAATCGCTCCGAAAACGAATGCATTTCCTGTACATACATAATGTACGTACTGGAATAGTTTTGAACGCGTCGTCATTTTTTTCGATGCGTTTTTCGTACAAATAGTTGTGCATTCATCGATTCGTGTAGCTAACCCGGCACGAAATCGTCGATAATACACAAACACTTGTTCGTACAACATACGTACCTACTATTTTTGCATCTCATGTGGTTGGACAACGAGTGGTCTACATATCGTTTCGTACACTACAACACGTTTCAAAACAGTCCTGACACGTTTATACGTGCACACAAGCACACACGCATGTCTGTTAATAATCTCGGCTGGTGACGTACTCTTAGTTTTTTTTAACTGGGGGTCGGAAGTCCAAATATTGTTAAAAAATGACCACCACGTGTTCGACTTAACATCAACGTCATCGGTGAACAATGACGAGAGTATTGATTTATTTTTTTATTCGTTCCTACGGAGGAATAAAATATTTTTCAATTCTTATTAAAACATGAAATCGTAGCAATATCGTATTAAAATTTATCCTGCAAACCGTAGAACGGTTATCATACGCTGATGCATTGGAGACATAACTACGATTAACCGCATACAGATTATCGTCCCGTTTGGTGAAGGTAAAATGTATTTTGTTAATCAACTTGTAAAATACCCCCGTATCCGTACACTGCAGTCGTTAAAAACATGATGCAAGGAGCACGCGATTGTTCACAATATTTTGATATGTTTATTATTTTTTGACATAATGCTGTAAGGCCTTGAGGAAGTCGTTGAAATAACATAAGTGCATGGAAGCTTTTTAATAGTAACCATTTTTATCATACGTAATTACGTATTCAAAACCTAAGTACAACAATAATAATAATATTATAATAGCCTAATGCAATATCGTCGAGGAGAAAAGTGCTCCGCCGGCAGGAATTTGATGTTTCTACTATTATATCGGACGTAATGTCTATTTTTCGTATCACGTGTAATGTCATTTCTTTTGTGTGTTTCAGGAACACATCGGCGTACCGTATCAAGACGTGGACAAACGGGCGGCGCTCATCTTGCACAATGACCACAAGGATGGAACAATTCTTATGGTAAGTCTATAGCGTCAAGTCGTCTGACAAGGCCGAATACATAATGTATACACCATATAGTTATAGCGCACAGAAGTAGACCAGCGATGAGACGGGTTACCGTCGTCGTCGTGTAATATTATGTGCGTACAAAATATGGGCGATTGTAAACTCCGCCAGAATATTGGTTAAGATAAAAAGGTAATAATAGGTCTAGTGCAGTGGTTCTTAACCTTTTGTATATCACGGACCCCTGATGAAAGATTTTTAGAAATTGCGGACCCCCCTTTTTTTATTTTAACTAATTTGACTAATTTTTTTTTTTTAATATTTTTTTTTACAAAACATCTCATGTTATTGAAATTAAAATTATAATAATTATTTTATATAATAAATTACATTAATAGACATAACAAAACATACATATTTATAATTCTTTTTATTTCACTTAATTTTTCAGTTAACTTAAATTTAAATATTTTAGTTTTCATTTCTTTTCTTAATAATCTTAAAATATAATTTTTATTAGCTTAATACAATGGTTGGGACACAAGTTTTATAACATCATATAATGATAAAATCTATCTATTATATAATAAAAAATAATAATAATATTAATCCAACAATATAATAATGCACTCATATGACATGTATTGATGTACATATGTTATGTGTTAGGGCTACCGCGGACCCCTAGAGGGCCGCGGACCACAGGTTAAGAACCGCTGATCTAGTATGAACTTCACCAGTATTTTTTTTTGTTTATTTGCTCAGTGCTCATATTGCCACGTGCCTTCTTACATTAAATACGTTGACATCTATTGCCATGATGTACGTCGAAATTGATAAAATTATTGTCATGGTTAGATCAATTCATTTCAAGGTGGATATATATGGATTATTGTTTTTTATCTCCCGAAAAAGTCTCCGATGTATTTGCATTTACTTAGAAGCAATCATGCCTTGTGAACCCAGAGTTATTAAGACCTTAGATTACCTTATTGACAGTTACATAAGTAATGACGCAGCGCTTCCTCTTCATTTGTGGGCTGATCAAAGTGCAAATTTAAATCGAGCTACAAATGCCTGTTGAATCCTTTTATAATCATCTTAGAAATTAATTTTATAAAAGTCAACCGAATGTACATATTTTTAGTAAAGTTCTTATCGAATTTCAAACCCAAACTTACATGAAACTAAATGGCATATTTCAATTAAATACATTAAAAAATTCGAAATAAAAAAAAAAATGATAATTTTACAGGATGCAATAAATAGGTACACTAATGGAGTAATAGATGACTTACAATATTTACAAATCGTATCATACCATTTTAGTTGAATAAAAATAAATAAAACCATGATATAACTATATATTTTTAGATTATTTGGTATTGGTATTGATTATTTATTATAATTTTTTTTTTTTACTATGATTTAAATATTTTATGTGAATGATGTGAAATTACATAATATTATAATTTTTGTTTAATAATATATCATATTAATTTTATACTACTACTCGATTTGCTCTACTGGCGGAGTTTACATGTACTCAAATTTACCTGATTTTTTTTAGTGGCGGAGTTTATAGTAAAAAAAAAAAAGGTACTTGTGGCGAAGTTTACATGCGCCCCAAAATATGTGTACAGCGACTGTGACAAACATACCGCGCGCATCGTGTACTACGTATTTCTACATTCAATTTACAGGATCTGGAAATATATACAGTGGCGTACGCAGGGGGGAGGGGTTAAAGGGTTATGCGCCACTGAATATATATGTGTGTGTGTGTGTGTGTGTGTGTTAAAAGGATAACATTTAGTTTGAACGTAATAAATTGTACCGTATGCACCTAAACGACACGACATAGGAGTTTCTGAAAAAGCTCGTCCAAGGAAAGATTGTTTTTGTTTTTTTATGTTTTGCACTGCAAATACCGTTTTTAATTAATTAGCTTTGAAGTTTCCCGTTTAAACGCGGTTTCTTGTCGGTATGTGCCCCGAAGTAATAGTGAAACGAAACGACCGCTCGATGTGTTCGCGGAAAATGTGTTCGCCGCACCGAGCAGCGTTTTTCGACTCTGCGTTTCAACCGACGCGCGTAGGTCCAAAACCTGCGTATCACGAAAATAGTTTACCACGCCGACGGACGTATTTCGCCGATTGCCCGTCCCTGGTGTACACACTGTGTACGGGTGGGCCCTGAAGCGTTGGATTTCGCGCGCTACACACCAGGGCTTATTCTAAGGACTTTTACCTACTGCCCAAACACACACTGAAAAGTTTGGAAATAGTTACACGCCATCATAAGCGCAATTAGGGAGCGTAGAGGGCTAGGAGGGCTTAGCCCCCTCCCTCGACCAAGATTTATCCCCCCCCACAAATATTCCATATTATACATGGCATACCGTATACAGTACACTTAACTCACAATAGTGTCACATACAAAAAAAGACATTGTAGTAAATCCAATTTGGCTCAGAATCTAAAATATATTAACATGGTATATAAGATTAGGGGTAATCTACAGGTGATTTTAAGTTTTGGTGGGAGGGCCGTAGCTCCCCCCCCAGATTTGGTTACCCTAGTTGTGCCTATGCACGCCAGACACTCATAAAACACTGGAACGTTACGACGAAAGTTATAGGTTTAATAATGAAATTAGCTACATATAGTACATATAGTACCTTTTTCGTTTTCTTTATTTTATCAAATAGATGCGCCCGTATTCGTAAAGTCAACTCCCCTTTTGATTTTTCCCGCTTCCTGAATAAGCCTGCTCAGCTACGTGAGCTGTACGTAAAGGTTGGTCCGCGACGAGCTCTGCAGTCGATTCCGTTGATTGTTTACAACGTATCGCGTCGAAACTGTGCAATATTTTCCGTACTCATCCTGCGATATTTTTTCGCGCAAGTAACGGTTTTCATTTTTTTTTTTTCGTTGTACACTTTCGATTTCTGTTGCGCGCACCCATTATTATCGTACTGAAGCGTGCCACACAATTTCAAACTCTGATTTATGTAAGCGTGTGCGAGCGCGCTCGAGTAGAAAAATATACCCGCGTGAAAAGACGAAAAATGTCGACGGGTACCCGTTGATGTACACGCCCACGCCGGACAATGGTGGTGACGTGAACACGCGCGTAGGCTGCCGGTTCGTTTTTGGACGTGTAAGATAAAAAAAAACACAATAGATAGAAATCGATCGAAAAATCGGACACGCGCGAGACGATGACGGAGCCAAGTGCGTTTTTCAAGTTGACGGGTGATCGTTGCCCAAACATAACAACAGCGCACATTAAACGTTAACATGTGTACTAAAACAAGCAACGGTGTTTTCGGCGTTCGCGGTTCACGTGTTAAACGGGTTAAACGACGTCAAATCATTTGCTAGAATAAACGGCACCGACAGAACTGTGAGCAGTGTATCGCCGCCGATGCACGAAACGATTATACCGGCGGACGAACAGGCGTGTAACAAGAGCTTACGTAACCTTCGGAGTAAACGTCGTTTAAGAGTGAAACACTACGATACCATCGTAACGCGAATTATGTGATCCACAAAGTCGAACGCTTTCGCAGGGCCATCGTGAAATAATATTGATCGAACAAAAAGACCGTTGTATGCGAACACTCCGCGAGTATTCGTCGATTGGCAAGGGGGGAAGGGATTATGTCTGGCTTGATTCGATTCGTAGATGACGTGCATAATTTCCCTACCTACGAACATGCCAGGAATTCGAATGAGTGTTTCGATAACTGTGTTAGAGTAACAATATAACATAATAATTATGCGTATGCAGACGATAACTATTGAATTGAAAAAATATAAATTTTTTCGTCGAAGAATTTTTTAGCTACAGGTATGACGGTATTATTACAGTTTTAACGTTTCAAGTGTAACATTTTTTTTCCCTCCCGTACAATAATTATATACATATCCCTTGAAATGTTTAACTTGGAATAATTTTTTAAAAAAAAAATATCGCGAATTTTTTTCTCTCGACGCTCTCGCGTGTTTGTGTCTCATGCGTTTTTTTTTTCGCCCGCGAGAATATACGTAATAAAACCATTGTCTCGCCCGGTATTATGATCCGTTTTGAAGTAAAAGTCCCATTAACATCTTTGATCCGAAAGAAATTGAGCAATACTTGTCTTGTTTACATATTTTCATAACCGCCCGTTTCGTTCGTGTATAAATCAACAACAATCTAAATAATTAACATAATTATACGTGTATACTGTACGATCATTCCCCAGTCGATTTTACATTGTAATAATATAATACTAGTATTATTGTAATTGACTTTGATTAAAAAATAATAAATATTCGGCGATTCAACAACCAGTTTCGAATGCACGCGTTTATTAAGCAATAGTACGTTTAAATATCTTGTAGTTTTCATCGGATACCGATTTGTTAACAAAACACGAGCGTCGAATCCGTCGAACAACTGCTAGCCCGTAGACGTATGGCGTGCGACGGGTAGAAACGAACGTGTAGAAAAAAAAAATATAAAAATAAACAACGGCAATGACCGCGATGCGATTGCGTACGTCGCGGAGCCGTTTCAGAAGAGATCAGTCGAAATTTTTTGAATCACGAACATTCACGAGTTACACGGCAGTAATGTAGTATTGTTGGAAGTCGATGTTTTCGTGTTGTTTTTTTGTCCCTACGTCCGAATCAGATTTACGAGTATTACAAATGTACGACATCGAAGAAACAGTTCGATTGCAATGGTCGTCACAAACCGCCAGTAGGCAACGTTCGTTTTCGTGGAGACCTAATGAACCGAAATTCAAGCAGTAAAACGTGTGCGGGGAGGGGAGGCCAGGACGCGGATATGATACGTACACAGTTGTACACCCTCCGGGAGCAAAATCAAAAGTTTTTCACGTGTTCACGTTCCATCCCGTGTTCTTGCGTTCATATCAAACGAAACCGTACGGCAAAAATTAAAATATCCCGTACAAGGTGAGCGGTGCCAGCACACGCCTCCGTGTACGTTGATAATCA